TGCAGTGGACGGTCCGCCTCAGAGGGCCCCGGGAAGAGTCTCACGTGAAGGCCACGTCTCGTTTGCAGCTGGGGTTGACTGCTCCAGGGCCCCGAGGACACCGACCGGGCACTTGATCTCCCAGAACGTTCATCAGAGAAACGACGAGCATCAGACCGTGATCGACGGCGTGTTCTCTGCTGGAGGTGGAGAGCGGCAGACAGACCGATTCACGCAGAGTGAGTGTCTGATGTGCTGCTGCCAAAGCCCTTGGCATCAGAATTGTTTCTGCGGACGCAGCCCGTGTGAGGAAGATGCCCCCTGGCACCTCCCTTAAATCTTTCCCGTGGACATTGCCGATGTGGCGGCATCCTTTTAATAGGTTCCCTGATGTACCTGCCGAAGCTGCCGTCACTCCTTCCGTGCACCGTGTCCCGGGAGGTAGAAGGAGGCCACCCCCCCAGATACAGAAACAGCAATGCCACAATCCTCCAGATTGCTTTGGGCGCAGCCCCCCACGTGTGCAGGCAGGAAGAGCGCCTGCAATTCCCATGGTCCCGCGACGGGCTGGGGGAACACGTGGGGCTTAACATGCGTAGGCTTCCACCGCGCTGCATTTTCCTCACCCTTCGTGATCCTGCTCCACCGCTGTCCAGCCTGTGATTTTGCGCGGCCTGTGCTGATGGCGACTGGACGATACTAAGCACCCCTCTTACGTTTTGACCTTTCAGGGAGATGCTGGCAGTCCCGTCGTTCGTGAGGCCGATGCCGGGAAGGAGCTGCGCGGGACCGTCGGCGGGGCGCTAGCCGTGCCGAGAAGGAGAAACCCGCAGTCTAAACGGAGGACCCACGGGTCGCATCGCACCTGAATGCAGTCCGAGACAGGACCCACCGCCCTCCTGGATGAACGCGGGGACTTCCTTTGCAGCCTGCTGAGCCACTCGTTGAAAGTGAGCGAATGAGCGTCACGGTGTGAAGCCTGCTCTGGAGCTGATTTTTCCTCGGCGGTTATTTTTGCAGCTTCTCCTGTCATTTTGCCCGAGGCAGAAATCTTCAGCCCTCGCTGAAATAAACCTTGTCCCACTGAAAAACAGGCCCGTATCTCAAATCTGAAGGGGAGCTGCTCTGTCGGGCC